AAAATAGTTAAGAAATTGATAAGTTTTGTTGTAAAAAATAATGAATAAATTAATTTAAATGTTTTCTATTTATTATAAATAATATAATAATTAATAATTAATTAATAGATTTTAAAACTTTTTAAACATGATAACATCTACTAATTAGATTAAATTATAAATATTTATTAAATTAATGTTATTTATAAAAAACTCTCTTATGCTGCTCTTTTTTAAGCTCGAAAATACTTGATAGCCTAGTTATGGGCTCAGTACTAAGGCTTGGTAGTTATGTTCGTTAATGGACTCGATAAGACTCGATATAATTGTTCATGAATATGCTCATTAAGGCTTGCTTATTATTTTATGCAAGCACTCGTTTAAAATTTGATAAGCATAATACGAACCGTACATAAGCTAAGCTTGAATATCTCCCATTTTAACTGAATCAGACTTGAACACAAATAGAAAAACTTAAATCAAGGCCAATCAAACTGCTAATAAATGAGCTCAACTATAAACAAGTACCTATTTGATTCATTTGTTGCCCTACTAGTGTTGGGGAAGTAAATTACACAACTAATAAAAAAAGAACTTGAAAATTGCAGCGTAAAGAAAGAACACTAGTATTTAATGTGAAAAAAATTCTAAATTGAGAAAAAATCGTGTAGGCACACTACACCAAATAAAATTCACTATGAAATTTCAGGAGAAAGTATAAATTTGTCTTCTCTCTCACTCTCTCATTGTCTCTTTTTCACTATTGAATCATTCTCTTACTAGAACTAACAAGGAGATACACAATAAAATCATTAAATAACGCAACCCTTAATGAAAACTAGAAAGAAAATTGCCGCAACACTGAGGTTTGGAGAGTTTCAACGCTTCGGCCTCTATCTATCTCCAGCCAGACAATACAACGTCGCAACGCTCGATACACAACGTTGTATGATTATACAAGCAAAAATATTTCGGGGGGAGGACCTCCTTCAATCTCCGAGTGCGTTCGACCGATGAAATTGAGGTTCAAGGTAGTAGTACAACCCAATTGGTTTACATAATAAGATTTCACACAAAACTAACACCAACAACCTAAATAATTAATGAAACATGCATTTAAATATAAGGGCTTAGGACCAAAATAAGACCAATGGAATGGAAATTTTTTTAAAAGTAGTTGTAGGTTGATCATTATTCTCTCAAAATACTCAGATTTTTTTTTTTTCAATTTCGTTCCTTAAATAAAGGCTTACTAGTTCAAACCTCAAGAGCTCATAAGGATTTTGCACTAATTTGCCATCTGAATCTTGCAATAAATTATTAATATAATATTTTAAAAATATATGCCTTTAATCTATTTATATTAAATTTGAATAATACTTGAATATTTAAAACTAAAATTTTAATTATTTTTGATAAACTATTATAAATAAAAAAATTAAAATAACTATATTTTAATGATTTCATTTGTTTCCAATTGGCTATTAGTTATTATAAGGAATTCATTTATAAAATGTGAATCTATGAAAAAATAAAAGCAGTTGTAAATTAAGACTGTACAGCTAAACTTCTTTCTTTTACTTAACTAATTTTTTTTTTTTAATTCATTAAATTTCTCACATATTTTAGCCTAATATGTTTGGCCTATATCTTTGCCTAAAATTTTCTCTTATTTTTTTAATTCATTAAATTTCTCACATATCAAGTCTCTTTTTAACGTAGGTGATCACAAAGCAATGATATTTATGTAAGAATAGTCAAAAGGGCTTAGGGTTTGGTGGCGGCGAGAGTTTGGTGGCGGCGGGCGTTTTTCCCCGTCCCGGAGAGAGCTTGTCTCTCTAACTTTCGCTCGTTTGGGGGAAGTTTTCGCTTTCCCTGCTTCTGTATTGCATTTTGGTCGAATTTTTTTGTTGGTTTTGCCTTTTCCTTACCGGCTGCGCCGGCATGGTTGCTGTTAAGTTAAAAGACCCCAGTTTTTTAGGGGGTTTTTCTTATTCTCGGTCTTTCCTTCAAGCTTTGGCTGGTCCGAAGTCATCTTTTCCGGATTTGCAAGCCTCCACGTTCCGTGGACTCCCGTCACTTTGGGTTTCTGAATTGGAAATTCATGATCTTGCAGCCCCTTTTCAGTTCTCTCTTGTTGGTTTTTTCCTTCTAAAAGACCTTCTTTGGAAGCTATTCGTAAGTTTTTTTTTTTTTTTTTTTTTTTTTTTAAAAAACTTTTTTTTAGGTTTTTTTTAATTTTTTTTTTTTTTTTTTTTTTTTTTTTTTAATTTGAAGTTGAAGAATGAAGCCTTTATCACGATTTTAGATCATTCTCATATTCTGATCAAGTTAGCCAATGATCTTGATTACTGTAGAATTTTCTGTCACCGTTCTTACCTTGTTTTTAATTGTTTTATGAAACTAACGAAGTGGTCGCCGACATTGGACATTGGTGTTGAATCGCCGGTGATTCCTATCTAGATCTCTTTTCCTCGTCTTCGTTCCCATTTATTTTCGCCTCGTATTCTCTCTGTCATTGGCGGTTTGTTTGGGAAACCGCTGAAAATTGATGAATCTACGGCTATAGGTTCCCGTTCGTCGATTGCCCATGTGCTTGTTGAGTTAGATATTACGAAATCCTATCCTAAGCAAGTTTGGTTAGGCTCGGAAACTCTAGGTTATATGCAAGAAGTAGTTTTTGACGAATTCCCCAACTTTTGTGCCGGTTGTAAATCTATAGGTCACTCGATCGGAAACTGTCGACCTTCTGCTCCTATCACCCAGAACTCTAACCCTCCCGCTATTGCTTGCGGTGGGGTGGGTATTGGTGTTAATGTGATTACTGAGAAGTCTGGGGAGTGTGAAAATGTGAATATTTGCTTAAATCCTGTTATTTGCCATGATGTTCAGACTCCGGTTATTTCCCCGGTTCTTGAGGGGAGTTCTGTTTCACAAAAGGACGTGAATGGTGAGGTTGTGCTTGGAGGGGTTGGTGTGGTTGATTGCCTTACTGTTAATGATGGCCTGTATCTTTCTCCTCTTCTTATAACTGTAGAAAATCCTAATACAATTTTAGATGTTGTTTCTGTTTCTTTAGCGCAGGGAAGTTTAAATGAGACTGTTCCTTCTCTGGTAACTAATGCGGTGTTTGGTGTTGGCGGTACAACGTCTGATTTTTGCTCGGTTGATTTATCTCAGAATGCTACACCTTTTCTTCCTCATGCTGTAGCTTCTGTTAGCAATATAATTTTGGCGCCGGTCTCTACAGAAAATTTTGTTAATTTTGAAGGTGGTGATGTTTTGATTGAGTCTGGTGTTGTGGGTTCCGTCTTGGCTGAGGCTGCACCTCATTCGTCTGATGTCCGGGAGGAATGTTGCCCGTTTCTCAACAGATTAATTTAGGTTCCAGTTAATTTGATCAATACGCAATCTATGGCTAACTGTTTGGGGGATTCGTCTGGTTTGGATATTAGGAATCATTTGTTGCATGGTTCGTCGGATGTTGAAGTGGATTCTGAATCTTCTGAAGGTTATTGGGATTCTCCGGATCTCAGTAGAGGCTCTGACCCAGGCAATGATTTTTCTTTGCTAAGTGCTAAACAAACTGTCAATGTTGCAACTCGGGGGAAATTTTGGGGAAGAGGCCCTCGCAGACGTTGATTTTAAGTGTTTTGTTGTTTATTTTGCCGTGGTGCTCTCTTTGGGGTTGGTTTGTTATTTTGTTTGTCTGATTTGTTGTTGCGCTAGGCTAAGGACAATGATGTGGTTGGGGCTCGTGCCCCTGTTGCTTAGCTGGTGGCAACCTTTTATTGGACGGTCCGTGTTTGGCTTAAGGGTCGCTTGTAGCCTCGGCCGCTTACTGAGCCTGCTTTTGGCCTGTAATTCTCTTTTGTTTTTCTTGACCTCTATGGTTCTCTCTATTGTAACCACTTTGTTCTGATTAATAATATTTTGTTATAAAAAAAAAGTTGTAGGTGATCATCCATATATATATATATATATATATATAGCCCAAACATATCATCTGAGATTCACTAAAATTACAGCAGCTAAATGGTTATAATATTTTTGTTAGGAAAAGATGAATCAAATACAAAGAGAAATAAAAAATTATAATTTATAAAATACAAATAAATATAGAGGATTTACGTGGAAAACCAAAATTTAGTTTGTTTCTACTTTTTGCGTGTAGTTTTCCTGCTTGCTATGGATGTCTTTGGATTTTCTGGATGCAGGTTGCTACCCTTTTGGTTGGTTCGGTCCTTGGGCTGACTTTGGTCTTTTGTTTATTTTTTTTTGTTTAATTGTATTTGGTAGATCTAATATCTCTTAGGTTTTACTTTAAAGGATGCATTTTTAACAAAGCTTATGGATCTTTAAGGGCTTGTACCCCTTCTATTCAACGTGTAGGTCACTCGACAGGTTTTTACAAAATAAAAAGGAGGAAGAACGACTGCACTATAAGAAATTGAGGCGGAGTACAAAAAGATTTAAAAAATCTTAAATACTTTACATCATATTTATAGTGCAAAATTAGGACAGCGAAAAATTCAAATGGAATTTTAAAATTAGGGTAGTCAAACCCATCAGGAGGCGCCATCTCCTTGGACCCCCGACATATCTATCAGTCATAAGTCGGTCAAGCACATGAAAAAAAAATGAGAGTCTAGCTAAATTAGAGGCAACTCCAACAATTGTCTAAAGTAAGTTATTTAGACCTAAGTACATATAAAAGGGAATTCACTTTACTACATTCAGAAAGAAGAAAAATTTCTTTTAGGAAACAGAAGATAAAATTTTAGGCAAATTGTTTTGAGGAAAATAATGAGGACTAAAGAAATATTGAGTTGAATCTTTAAAGTAAAAAATTATATCAAAATATCTGAGAAAAATAGTTATAACTAATTCCACGAGTAATTTCTGTAGAATTCCTATTAGATTTGCGTTCGGGTACAGGTACAGATGATGACACTATAAAGGACGCATGGAACGCAGGAAGCTTTAGTGTTCTGGCCTTGTGGTCATCATCTCCTAGTCTATTCCATACGCAGTGTGGACTCCACTGAGAAGAAGCAGCAAGAGCTGAAGAGCAAATAAAGAAGAAGAGAAAGCGGGCCGAAGTAGTATCTCCTTCCGGCCGGAATTTCTGGCTTCTCTTTGATTACCGGAGCAGAGGAGGAGGAGCAATTGCATAATTATGGTAACAGTATGAAGTGTGATGCAGAAATGTCAGTACCCTAATCGACAGACAGCTGGTTTGGTCCCTTTCCAATTTCCTTCTGGCGGGCCAAGTTCACAAATCTGAACCTTTTTTCACTTTTTGCCTTTTTTTTACCTCCAGTCTCCTCCACTTCCATTGAGCAGAGCAGTAAGAGAGGCTCCTGTCTTCCATTTGTCTTTTCCCCTCCAAGAATATAGCTTTATGATTTCGCTTTTATTCTTCCACTTTCTTTTCATTCTCCATCATTGTATCCCCTTTTTCTCCAAGTTTATTGTCTGAGAGTGTTTTTATTCTTCTATCTGCAAGTGATTTTTTGCCCAATCTCTCAACTTTTGGAGCAATGAAACTGAGTTTTGACCTGGAAGTTGATGTCAATGGTGAGGAGATCTTTTTTGTTAACAAGGTAATTGATTTTGTTTTTTTATGATTTTGAATTTATGGTTGATTTGTAATGCTTTCTGCTTTTCATTTTTACTAAAATTTTTTTTATTAAATTGAGGCCTTGCGAGTTCTTTTACTTTGGATTTTATTTCTGGTTTTGATGGAAAATGTCCCTTTATTCTTGCTCGCAGTAAGGTTTTGCCTTCTATCATGTATCATGCATTTGTTATTGGTTGTTTCTGCTTTTCTCCAATATGTAGATCTCTCTCTATTTCTCTCATCATATTTCATTTTCTATGGTTGTAAATAACTCGAAGCTTTTGCTTTAAAGATGGCTTTGCAGTCTCCATCTCTTCCTATCAGAAAAAAAAAAAACCTTCAACATGTGAGACTTTAATGTTCTATGGCTTTTTCTGTACCGATTCTTCTGTGTGCGGTGCATGAACTTAATTTTGTTATTTAGAGTTCTCTTGTTTATTATGCTCCAAGTAAATGTCTGTATGCATCTATTTACATTCACCACTGTTCTAATTTGGCTATGTTGTGGTTGGAATATCTTCCCTTTTTTATGAGTTCTACAGTTCTGAGAATTTAATGCAAGTTTCTGGATATATCTACTTACAGTCACTTACAGACTGTAAAATTCTGAAAATAAATGAGCACAACATCGTTTTAATGCCCTGTTCCATTTCGTTTTCTTTACTACTCATTAAATGCAAACCTTCGAACCAAATTTCTTTTATATCTATCATGTCGTTTTCCCCTATTTTTTTTTATGTTCAGGGTTGTCATTGTTTTACCTCAAGAATAGTCATTTTCTGTTCCAATTTATTGAAATTTTCCGATTTTTTCTCTCATAAAGTATGTAAGGTTTATATTGCTATGATCATTATTACAATCAGTTAATTTTATCACATTTTTGCAGGAAAAACTTTGTTCATTCTCTGGCAAGTTAAACAAATTATTAAGCAAAGCTCCAGTGACATCGGTTACAAAGCCTCTGAAAGTGATTTTCAATGATTTACCAGGAGGGGCAGAGGCCTTTGAACTCTTGATAAGGTTCTGCTATAACAATGGCAGAATCCAAATTACTCCAAACAACACTTGCCTCCTCTACTTCATAGCTCAATCCATGGAAGTGACTGAAGAAGAAGTTCATTCATCTGACAGTTTAATCAAACAAACTGAGAAAGCTGTTGAGAGTATCTCATATTGGTCTTTGCCTGAAGTCTTGATATCTCTAAAACAATGCCAAAATTATTTTCAATTATCGGAATCTTCAGGCATCCTTGACAAAGTAATTGATTCTCTTGTAGCTAGAATTACCACAGCAAGTGATACCAGCCCTTCAGCTTCTTCACCTGATAGCTCTTTCTTCCGTATCTCGTTCGATACAAAGAGTAACATTAGCACGAAGAACAGTCATCGTCGAGCTTGGTGGTTTGATGATCTTGTCATATTAAACATTGAAATGATTGATAGGGTTATTGGAAGGATGATTTCTCTGAAACTAGAGCATAATAAAATCAGCAAATTCCTCTTTTACTATCTGAAGTGCAAGCTCTCCTCAGCTTCTGATGAGAAGAGGATGGTGACCGAGACTGTCATCGACCTACTCTACTCGCTCGATAAAAACTCGGTATCTTGCAAAGGCTTGTTCGATATTCTTCGCATCTCCTCATCTCAAAATCTCAGTGGTAGTTGCAGAGAAAGATTGGAGAATATGATTGGTAGCCAGATCGATCAAGCTACTTTGGATAGTCTATTGATTTCCTCTCCTACTAGGACCGAAAGCCTTTATGATGTGAATATACTCCTAAGGTTCTTGAGACACTTCCTTGCTTGTGGAGGTCGAACATCATTAGATCGATTGAAGAAGGTTGCAAGCCTTCTAGATTTGTATATGGCTGAAGTTGCCCCTGATGTATACTTAAAACATTCAAAATTTGTAGCACTAATTACAGCCCTTCCTGACACAGCAAGAGATTCTCATGACTCTTTGTATAGAGCCATTGACATGTATCTTGTGGTAATGTTTATATTGGTTAAGTTCAACTTCACACCGTTAAGAAAATTTTCAAATATTTGTCTAATTATTAACTACTGTTCTTTGATAAAAATCGCAGGTTCACAATAGATTGACCGAGGCAGAGAAGATGAAGATCTGTTGCTCCATTAATTACGCGAAGCTTTCATTACAATCCTGCAAGCACTTGGCACAGAATCCCAAGTTTCCACCTAGAACTGCAGTTCAAGCGCTATTGTCTCAGCAATCCAAACTTAAGGGCCTACTCCAAGATTCCAACAACTTCAAATCCTTTGATAGTGAGCAAAAACAATCGAAAGATGGAGATCAGACCCTTCTTTATGGGAAGAAGCTCGATCCAGATCCATTGATGGAAAATGAAAAGCTCAAAGCTCACCTCAAAGGTATGCAGTGGAGGGTGATAGAGTTAGAAAAGGCCTGTAGGAAGATGCAGAACCAGATGGCAAAAATGGTGAAATCAAAGACATCGAGCCCAACATGCTCTAGACCACTTCCCAGGCTATGCTCATGATTAAAGCTTCCTGTTTCCCTTTAATTTTGCTTTGATTCAAAGCTTCATATCTGTACAGCGTACATTGGCATTTTGGTTTCCCAAGCCTTTTGTATGGAAAGCTAAAGCTGATTGATGGAGAGCAGTGTGAAAATGATAGGTTGCTGGGTTGTTCCTGCCTGCTTTGCTTATTGACAAATCGATTTGTACAGCTTTTGAGAAGCTTGTTTCTTCTTTTATCAGCTTTTTTGTGGCAGATTTATCTTTTTTACTATCATATAGACTAAATTTTCATGAATTTAATGGCTTATGCTTTATAGAGAAACACTTCTACCATACTAATACAATCTTGCAGGACATTCTTCCTATAAGTTTTGTGATTTATAGCTTTTCTTGTTTTCTAATAACTTAAGTTTTTGGCTTAGATTTGTGAGGAAGACAAATTATATCTAATGAAATACCAGGTAGCAGCAAAAGGCGTTCCTCACGCACAAGAGCAAGGCATTTACTCCTGCATTTGATAGTGAAGAAGTTGGCAAAGAAATTCCAGTGATTAAACTTAGAGTCATAGTCTTGAAATTTTGATTAAAATGAAATTATTCATTGATTTACTAGATCCAAGATTCAATACTCATTTGCCGCTGTTTCCCAAAGGGTGATTTTACAGCTTTCTTATTATTTTCTAAATCATTTTTTAATACTAAATTTTTTAGCTTTGTTGTATGCTGAAATATTCGTGGAGGTAGAGAAATATAAAGTTTAGCATCTTAGCTTTATGCGAAGATTCAACACACATATAGATAAAGGAGTAGAGGTATAACATTTATAAAAGATACTAAGATGTTTACATGAAAACCCTTCAAAAAAAAATAAAAAAATAAAAAAATATTAGGCCTGATCCGGTTTGAATGGATCCACTAATGTTTGCAGTTTATTACAAATAAGGCCCTTCCTTAGGGGGAAGGTCGTGGCTCGATGTAGCCAATATACATTATATATAGTGTATTACATTGTGGGAATTGGAAGAATCAATGTTGACATGCTCGTTTGGTCGACAATACCATAGTCGGTGAGCGACGTAGGCCGGAAAGACTGTAGTAAGGTGATGGTGATAGGGACCATCCAAACTCCGATTTTAGAAAACTTATAGTCGAACTGAACGTCTCAAGAATACGAACCCAACGACATGAAATTTGACTCAATCCGAGCCCAAATGGGTCCGAATTGAGGACCTGAAGCGCTGCTGTATGGTTCAAACCACAATTTGGATTACCAAACGGTTTTCAAACATGACATGCTTATAGCCAAATTCAACGGCTCGATAATACGAATCCAACGAGCCTAAGATCATGGAATTCCGACATCATTAAGACCTTCAAATGTCTGACAAACGATCAACGATCAAGGGATTCAACATCAGGCGTCCATTCAAACCACTCTCCTATTTACCCTTGCTCCTTATCATATTTACAGGTCATGCCACTCTAAAAAATCTATAAATAGACCCCTCCTCTCAATTGAAAGGGGCTCCAAGCAAGAGAGCAAGAGAGAGGCCAGAGATCGCTCTTGCCTCCTTGATCCTCTACCATCGCCTGGAGTTCTGCCAGACCACCACTGGAGGCCCTGAGCTTCACCGGACCACCACTTAAGGCCCTGAGCTCCATCAGACCACCACTTGAGGCCCGAACTTCCGTCGGACCACCTCCTAAGGCTCAAAGTTCTGCCGGACTACCACCTGAGGCCTGTACATCCGTCGTACCACCACTTGAGGCTTGAACTTCTGCCAGACTATCACCTAAGGCCTGGAGTTCTTCCGGACCACCACATTAGCCCCGAACTTCTACCAGACCACCACCCGAGGCCCGGAGTTCTACCGATCCACAACCTAAGGACCAAACTTCTTCCGAACCACCACCTGAGGCCCAAACTTCTACTGGACAAACACTTGACACCCGAAGTTCTGCTAGACCACCACCTGAGACCTGGAGTTCTGTCAGACCATCACCTGAGGCCCGGAGTTCTACATGACCATCATCTGAGGCCCAGATTTCTATCGGACCACCACCTGAGCCCTGAACTTCTGACAGGCCATCACCTGATGCCTTGAGTCCTACCGGAGTACCGCCCTACTACTATAATCTTTCTGACCTCGGACTCATACCAGCTACAATGTTTCAGACCCTTGTCTCCTTCCGACCTCTGTCGCCTACTACGATCCTTTCGACCTCCATCGCTAGACAACAATCTTTCTAACCCTGGTCTCTTACCGACTATGGTCATTCCGACCACCATTACCAAACAATGATTTTTTTGACCTCGATCTACTGTCAACTATGGTCTTTTTGACCCCGATCTATTGCCAACTAAGGTCTTTCTAACCTTGATTTCCTGCCTAATATAATATTTCTAACCTCTATCCTATCGACTATGGTCCTGCCAATCAAACAAACATGTCTATATTGATTATTGCAACTCACATCATATAATGCGATCTATATGATGCACATTTGTGACATCAAGCCAAGGCCTTCTTCCAAGGAAGGGCCTCATTTGTTATTGACTGCAAATTCTAGTGGATTCATTCAAACTGGGTCTGGCCCTGTGGTTTTTTCCCCCATTTCAGAGGTTTTGCACGTAAAAACTCTGCTGTTTCTTATGAATGCTACACCCCTCACTTATTTGTGTGAGTGCTAGGATGTTAAACTTTATATTTATCTACAGTCGCGAATACTCCAGGATGTAATGGAGGTCAAAAGAACTGTTGTATGACGATGAAGGTCAGACGAAGGACCAAAGTCAGTGGGAAACGAGGGTTAGAAAGATTGTTGTATGGTAAATGATGTTAGAAGGATAGTTGTATGTAGACAGAGGTCAAAAGGGCTATAGTCGTTTGATGACGATGGTTATAAAGACTCTTGTTTGGCGACAGAGGTCAAAAGAACTGTAGTCGGCGGGCGACGGTGGTCAGAATGAGCGATGATGGTTAGTGTCCGAGTGTACATACGGAATCAATTGGTGGCCAGGCGTAAGTTTGGTGATAGTTTGTGGCCGGGTAGAAGCCTGGCGAAAGTCCAACGACAGTCGGTGGCAGGGCTATGGTCGAGGTGGAGCTGGGTGGTAAGAGAGATCTCAGATTTCTCTTCCTCTCCTCTCCTCTCCTCTTTCCTTTTCTTCCCCCTTTGCTCTCCCCTCTCCCCCAATAAAGAATGAGAGATCTATTTATATTTTTTTGGGAGTTGCATGAATATTAAATAAGGAGAAGATCAATGGAAAGGTGGGAGTGTTTTGAATTGACGGTCGATATCGACTCTCTTAATCATGGACCATTTATCGAGTATTTGAGTGTCTTAGTGATGTCAGAATTTGACAATCTTTGGCTTCTTGGATTCGTCTCGTTGAGCCACTCGATTTGACTATAGGCATGTCACATTTGAGAATCATTTTGTCATTCAATTTATGGTTTGAACCTTCTAAATATGCTTTGAATATTTGATTTGGATCCATTTGGGCTCATATTAGGTCAAATTTTGTGTCGTTGGGTTCACCTTTTCGAGACGTTCAGTTCGACTATAAATTTGTTGAAATTTGAGTTTAGATGATCCCGGATTTAATTTTGAAAGTTTTTAATATGAATTTGCATCAAGATTCATGCTCGATCAACATATTTTTTTGAAGATATATCAATCTTAATTTTTTTTTTTACTAAAAAAAATTTGTTTTAAGAAGTAGTAAGAAACTAAGGCTTCGTTTGGGACGGCTTTTTTATTGTTTTCTAAAATGGAGTTTTAGTACAAAATTAAAAAATTTTGTACTAAAACTATGTTTTAGAAAGCAATAAAAAAGCCGTCCCAAACGAAGCCTAAGTCCCAAACTAATCATAAGTTGTGGTAAAGTGGCTTTTGGTGTATGGCAGGTTACAAGGTTCAGACTTCAGAGGCTGTTTGGTTCGAAGTTATTGAGAAATCAGTATTATTAAGATGTACTCATTATTGTTTATTTAACTATAATTCAACGTATCTTTATTGAAAGATCAATGCTATTTATATTTAATATAATAATATGAATCTTGAATGTCATGAAATTAGATGTTCTTTGCTTTAATTATCATGATTGTTATATATTTTTTATTTTTATATAGTTTTTATTTTTGAACAGATCAAATTGTTGAGTGCATAAATTTGATTTTACATTGTCAATTACTATAGAACAGTTGACTTTTTCAGTGGTATTTTTTTATTTTTATATATTTTTTATTTTTGAAAAAAAAAAAGCTTAGTGGGATTCTCTGAGGTGCCAGTAAGCAGAACATGCATGGGCGAGGCTGCCAATTAGGCGGTCAGTGCTGATGCCTTGTGACATACGGGTGATTGATAAATAAATAAGAATATATATATATTTTGGGTTGTTAGTATGAAGTGGAGATCTGATCACATTCTGTTGAACTTAAAAAGTTATAATTATTATGCAATTAGGAAAAGTTAAGTGCGTTAATCTTTATCATAATTAAGTAATATAGAAATTCCGTTTCTTTGGAATCTTTTGGGGATGATGATTCTGGGAATACTGTTGCTTTGCTGCATGACGAACCGGTTGTTTATGTTGCCTCACGTGGAAGGGCTCCTGGGAGGGGCAGACGTGGTAGGTCATTACTACTCATTTCTATGGGAGGTGCTGGTGGTTGCCTCCATGGTTTACTTGTTGGATGCCTCTCTGGTTGGCAGTCCTTGGTATTGTTAATTTGGCTGTTTGGATGGACCTTTTGTTTGCCTTCCTATGTTGTTTCTTGCTGGCAGATACATTGTGCTTTTTTTTTTGGGCCCTCCAATTTATTTTTTATGTTGGCCGGGCAATGATGTGGCTGGGGCTTGCTTCTACGTCGGCACGACTCGTGGCAACCTTCGGTGTAGATCTTTTGCTCGGTTGGGTTAGCGCTTCACGTTTCTATTCACCATAGGGCAATTTTTTAAACTAAGCATTATATTAATTATAATTAAGCGATTAACCAACGGAAAAAAAAAAATTTAAAACTCGCCAAAGTCGCCCGTTTAACGGGCGACTTATATTTTAAGTAAGTCGCCCGTTAAACGGGCGACTTACTCTTCACTTATATTAGCCGCGCAGACTCCTTTTCTTACCCTAAAAAGCTCGTTTCTGCGACCAGGATCGGCGTCTCTCGGCAAATCCGGGCGAATCCGCGAGGTAAGTTCGTTTTTGGAGTTTTT